ATAATAGACAGCTTTGACGAAAGCACACAAGGAAAAAAGCAATCCAGCAGTAAGATTACAGGAGTTCTACTTAATTTCCGGGTCGCCGCAAGGCGTGAACACGTGGAAGAAGAGGGAAATGTAGTAACATAAAAGGTAAGAAAACTGAATTTGGGAAAAAGAAAGTACTTGAAAAGCAAAAGCAGTTTAATAATCCAACCGTCGCTAGATAAATTCCCGTTTTTCGATCTAGTTTCCGCAAGGCACGATGAAGACGTGGAAGAAGGTAAAATGCAGAAACTGCACATGGTAAAATGCATGGATAACATAACAAGACAGATTATCCTTTTTTTTCTTATTTGATCTTCATAATGGCAATCACTCAAGCTACATTGGGTAAACATAAGAATCTAGTCTACCTTCAACTAATAACCTGATTTTACTTCAACACCAATTTCATTCATCTGCATGGCAGCTATGAAAACCAGTAAATACTTAAAGACACAAATCAGAGAGAGAGAGAGAGAGATGCATTTGAACAAAAATTAACTCGAAGCAGCCAGTAAATCTCCTGGTCCGAACAACACACTCACATGGAAGACATAAATACGATGAACTGATTCAAAAGCACACAGATTGACTCAAGCAAGATAAATTACAGCATTATTCCAGGAATAACATGGCGAGATGGTAACCATAAAAAACATGCAACAAGTATCAGACTATCAGTTCAATAAGTTACCGACCAAGTCTTCAACAGATTTACGAGCTGCAAGCAAGAGTGAAAGATCTAAGAGGGAGCTCACTATATTTTGTGAGAAAGGAAGTAGGAGAAATGTAACCACACCGCTAATAAATCTGGCTGAAAATAATTGTATAAAATAAAAGAGAATCTTCCAAAGCATGATGTGAGCCATTAAACACAACCAACAATTCTTCGCCGGCATCAGACATGAAGGCATACAGGAGTTACAGAAAACAACAACATTTGTTAACATACATCCACTGCATTTACCTGAGTGATGCACTAAGTATAAAATCACAAAACAGATTTACCCGAAAACAAGGAATGGGAAGAATATATAAATATGTGCACAGAAATTCAGGGTAGCCTTAAAACAGCAGAAAAACAGCACCCACAAAACCAGTATTTTGATGGTTCACTACTCTGTTGGGAATCAAATTTACTCCAAATGTATTATTTTCTACCACTAAAATTTTCTAAATTTAATAAAAATGAGTACCCTTTATTCACAGTACACACAAAAAATTAAATAAAATAAAATAAAATAAAATAAAATAAGAACTTCTCGTATAAAGTCCGACAGGAAACACATTTTCAGGTTCAACTAGGATCAGCAATGCACAAAACAACTAAAAAGAGTAAATACCCACTTCACCAGTGAGAGTAAATTAACAAACAACACAAGAATTAGAAAATAAAAATAAAAATAAAAATAAAAACTGTTCAGGCTTGGATTCAAGAATTAATGGAATTGACTAGCATTCACTTTTTTTTTT